TATCAAAAGACTGCTGTTCTTCATCAATTACAAAAGGGAATGGCTGTATTGCTTTTGTAGCCATGGCTGTTTCTGACAGCTGAGAGAAATATATATGTTCAGGGTGATGTCTGGAATGCAAAACAGAAATAAAGTGTGCTCCCCTGATTGTGTCTAGTGTTCAAGATATTGATGGAGCCAGCAAGCTTGTATTATTATCAGGGCTGCACAGCCATGAATGCATAAACTGGAAACTGACTTTTCCAAGTAAAATATGTCTTTCTCACATTACTTTTGTGGGAGTCAGCTTCCAGAATAGATATTCAAAACTTATTATTGGTAATTTTTCTATAAAAGATAAGCCCCAAAAGGACAATGTCAGCATCTCTCTTTACAAATGCACATGTCTTTCGAGCACTGGAGTTTTGCTGAAACTACTAGTGGCAGGTCAAGGGAATATTTATTGAGGCACGGAATCGCCTGATCTGAATTGCAATGTAGTGCTGCAGTGAGCCATAAATTCACTTCTTTTTTCCTTAATCTTTAAAAAAACCCCAAAAAAACAAAAAAAAACAAAACAAAAAAAACCCCAACCAAACAGACAAACAAACAAACAAAACAACAACAACAAAAAAACAAAAACAAAACAAAACAAAACAAAAAAAAAAACAAAAAAAAACAAAACAAAACAAAAAAAAAACCCAAAAAAAACAAACACACCACAACTATGAAATGCGTTGATTAGATTTTTACTTGAATTCTGATAAGAAGATGGATGCTGTTTGGGTTGCCATGGTGCTATTTTTGGAATTGCTTAGAAAGAATATTGCACAAAGTAGTTTCTATGCCAGCAGCTGTGCTCTTCCTTCCCCCTGCCCATAAAAAAAAAAAAAATTCATAATCATCTAATTTCTTTCAAAAGTACTAAATCATGCATGTGGAAGAGGAGAGGTTGTGCAGCAAGATGATGACAGTTCTTCTGATTCTACAAAGAAATCATCTCTTTACTCACCATGAAGTAGATGAAACTACCTTCTGTAGTCCATTACAAAATGTAATTCCATGAAAATTCACATACTATGTCAAATACTCACTTCCTGCTAATGCAAGACAAAAAAATGGTGAACAAGAAAAATGGTAAAATCAGAGCCCTGAATTTCAAAGGAGAAGAGTTGAGGTAGTAATCCACTTCACAGGATCACCAAAGAAGTGATATCTTTGTTATTGTCAAAATTCAAAATGTGGCAGGATGAGGGTCTGAGTCTGACTGAATCTCTGATCTCTGTGGAGTGGAGAGATGCTCCAGCCAGAGCCTGTGGAACACCTGAAGTCCTGCTATCATTTCACTATCCCTTCCTTTCTTAATTAACCTTTAAAACTTAACTGCTCCCATCCAGGCTTCTCTTACCTCTTCAAAGCCTCAAAGCAGACCATCCTCTCATTTCGTGTGTAAAGCAATGCACTGCTACCACTCAACTGAATTTTGGCCTTTCTAACCAAACTTCATGGGATTTGCAGGCATAGTGTAAGCTGTTCTTAACAAAAAAGACATAACTTATCACTATCTCCTTTCTAGTTTATCTTTGCAATTCTATTGACTGCACTTTTTTTTTTTTGAGGAATCATGTCTAAATAAGTCTGCTTTATTATTCTCATAGCATTGAATCATCTCATTTTCCTTTACAATGAAATAACCGTTTTATCTAGATCCAGTTAGGTTTTTTGTATTCTTTGTCATGCTCTTCAGGTCAAGAAACTAAATATAAAAAAACTAATATTTCATGCTTTGTTACTTTGAAAGACAGCAGTATCTTCACAGAGAACAAGATATCCCACTCTATATTTCGGTGAAGTTAAAATTTGTTTCCAGGTTGAAATAGAACAAAGGCTCAGTATTTTAGTCTTTTACAAGAAAAACCCCAACAAAACAGCAAAGATAATAAAGTAACTAAATATTCTGTTTCAGAGCTTGGGAGGGTCTAAATTTTAAAGTATTTTTTTAAACAAATTTTGACATTCATAAGCAATTAGAAAATCTCAAACTGGCTACTAGAATATTTTGAAATTTCTTTTTAGTACTCCTTGGATGGGAAGAGAATTCATCAATATTTCTCTTCTTTCAAAGATTCTTTTTATTTTTGGAAAATAGTATTTTTATCAATGAGAGGCTCTCAGAAAAAAATGGTAATTGTTCTGGAAGTCAAATCAATAGTTCATAAACATTTCTGTTATGATATAAACTGAGACATCCTACAGTTCCTTCCAGTTATTCTTATATAAACAACAAGATTTTCGTTAGTTCCCTTTCTGTCAGTTTTGCCAGCAAGTTATAGATCTTAGGCTCAATCCTGTTTGCACTTATTGATTAATCCCTTTTAGTTTTAGCTAGAGTAAAATTCAGGTGAGTGTGCTTGCTGTAATTTACAGTATGTTAGTCCTCAATACCACTTTTATTTTTTGAAAGAAAACATAATCTTTAAAATTCCATACCATTTCTTGAGCTGTGTGAATGTTTCAACATTATTTTTTTCTCTTTCTAAGACATAAATATCTAAAGCACATGATTCATTTTTTTTCTGCCTTTTATAATGCCTTACATCAAATGTGTGTTGCCTGCGCATAAAAAATTAAAATATATTTAGATGTTGACTATCATATAAAGTATTTCCAAAAAAAAAAGGTATCTTTTTTTGTTCATTACTCCACGTAGTAATATAAGTATATATTTTAATTAAAATGTCATGAGCTATAATTAATGTCATCCTTCCTCACTACCTATGTGTATTAAAGATTTACAACTGTAGTGACCTGCATTATTGCCTGAAAAAATATAATTTGATGTTATAGTCTACTTTTAAAATACATTAATTTCATGTTTTGCAATAAAACAGAAGGCTTGTTAGATACAAAGAGCAATGCGTGATAATACTGAAAGGATGAAAAGCCAATTTCAGAAAACCCATTTAAGACATTAAGTATGCATTTAAATAAGTAAATGACTGGAAGCATATTAAAAAATACAAACCAACATGCCAGATCTCTCATAGCAATATAAGCTTTACATATTATCTGTTAGTTGAAAAAGATCTGACAAATGAGTTAATATAGTTGAAAGTGTTGTCAATGTGAAGTGGATTATTTTTCATATTCAATGCCAACTATTTATTAGACTTTGTATGTCTCCCTTAATAAAACTTAGTTTGTGAATCAACATTTCTTCCTCCTTTTGTGTAATAAACATGGACTACCTGGAGCATGTACTTAGGAATATTTACACTAATAATCAGTATGTGCTGGGATTATCAAGCACCTTGGTCAGTCACAGAATTTTCAGGCAGTTTCATGGCCAATGTCTGCTTCCTTCATGCTGCATATCACATTTTTGAGTGAGGAGTTATAGATATGGATTCAGCTGTGGTGTTTATTTTCATTCATTTTCATTTATTTTCTTTTATCATTTGCTAATATTTTCTTTCTTTTAGAAGTTGATTTTAATGGAACTTGCTGTTAGCTTAAGACCATGATGTACCCATTAACTGTAAAAAGTGATTTCTAACCAAATAACAGCTACATTTTTGTGTTTTCCTCAGGAGATAGAATATCTCTTGGAATAGCTTTTCATTCTCTATTGCTCAATATACTGTAACAGGAGAAGACTGATGCTGCCATCACTCTGCAAGTGTTTTTACAATGCTAGTACCAAACCTTTCAGCACCACTGTCAGTCCTCATATGACGAGATTACCTGGACCAGGCACTGAAAAAATTATCCTTCAAACAATTAACCTTTGCTGTTACCTTCCTGCCTAAGTCATAGGACCTTTCACATGGAACATCTCTCAGTGAAGTACTCCCAGAGCTAAACTTTGACAAGTCCATTAAGGTTCTTTTCCAATTCTTAATATTCTTTTAAACTTGTTGATTTTCATTGCAGAAAAATTGTCTTAAAGCTCTTGCATTATTCCATAGATATTCTTTCAAAAATGCCAAATGACTTCCAAATACACAATGCTGCTTAAAACAGGAATGGTGGAGATAACACACATCACTGTTATGTTTCTTGTGTAGGCAACCTTCACTCCAAATCAGCATTGCAAATTCCAACATTGAATTGCACAGAAGATCATAGGAAACAATTCTTCAAAGCTGATTGGAAAGCCTAACAATGTGGCAGTTTGTTTTGCTTATAGTTTGAAAACTATTTTAATTATGGGGCAGTGTAAAGTAAATAGATTAGCAACCAGCAAGAAGAATAAGACTTTAATGCAGACTGTTGCCATTTACAATGAGTTTTCTGCTTTCATGTGCATTTCTTTTGTTCCATTGGTCTGTTTTAAGTTGTAATGTAAAGAAAACTGCACAACGTCTGGTCTATAGCAATGGCTGAAAACAAAGTGACCAGGACTACTTCCTCTATAGTACTTCTATTTCTTACTGAGCTGTATTGGAAGGGCTAGGGTACTCAAGTCTGGATTTTGAAGACAATTACCTGAACTAAACACCTAATTTCATTCTACAGTAGGAATATGAAGTCCAACTTTAGGGGACTGCAGTGCAGTTCTTTAATGTACTTAGAGCTTGGTTCACTTCATTGTACTGAAGATTCAGGAACTGATTGACCAAACACTTGTTTTAAAGGCAACTCCCTATTTTACTTTCATAGTTATCTACTTTTTCACAAAGTTGTGGGGTATAAGCTTTTTTCAAAATTTAGTATTGAGTTTTCCCAAGCCTCCATCCTGTATGTGCCATACAAAAAGTTTTTGCAAATAATGCATGCATCATACACTATTTGTAAGTATCTTCTGACAGTAGATACCTTTCCCTTTCTTCTCCTTTATGCCTCAGCTATTATCTAGGTGGTTGCTAGCATGGAGCTGAAGAATTAACAGTTTTGTTCTCACCTTTTTTCCAGTGGAACAAGAATTATAAAAGAATCCACTAGCAACTGGACTAGTGTTTCTGAAATATCCCTGATCACTTCTCTTTGACAAAAATGTGATTACTTGTGTTTCTTTGCAGGAGCATACGTGCTTCAAGTAAAGGCGACAGATGCTGATGATCCCACTTATGGAAACAGTGCTAGAGTGGTTTACAGCATTCTTCAGGGGCAACCATATTTCTCCATTGATCCCAAGACAGGTAAATAGTTTACTAGCAACAGTGGAAGATTTACGCTTTGGTTTTTAGATTCATATAGTCAGTATCAATGAATAAATATGGACCTCGTTGATACGGCCAAAATCCAGGAGAGCAATTCTCTGCATGATTCAGTTTTGAGTATTGACTAGCTTTTTAAGAATTACAGTGTTTTGTAGAAACAAAAGAAACATGTTCCTCCAATCAGTCCTGGAATATTTAAAATATGTCTATATGGAATGATTATTTTCTCAATGTTTTACTATTTCCCTATAGATAAAACTTTATTCTGCATGTATCCTTTTTTTTTTCCCCTGATGATTGAGTTTTTTAACTTGGGTCTTCTCAGCATTTTTGCTTGCTGAACATACAGTCAGAAATTCTCCAGCAATTATTGCTTTGTTATATTGAACTAATTTGAGACTGTGGAACAGCTAATCATCTCCTTCCCTCCTCTTTTCCTGGGGCATATTATTTTTGTCTAGGGTTACTGGATTGTGTGAGTAGAAAAAGATATTATGTTTAAAGAGAGTGAAGTATTTGGGAGGTTGGTAGACATGTTAATTGGGTATCTTGTCCTATATTTCTAAATGTCATTCTTGATTCTATATTTAGCAATTTAGTTGAGGAAGTGATAACATACATGGTGAATTGACACACATTGTGGCATCCTGAGTGTGCTACAGGAAAGCTATCCATATGCTCCCTTCAGCAAATAGTTTCACATTCCAATGTAGCTGTACTTGAATGTCAGATTCAGGGCTTTAGCCCTGAATGTGGAGCATTGTAAGGCTGTGAACACACCCTTTCCAATGTACACATTTCTTAGTGCCATGCTCCATTTAGCAGGAGATCTTACTGTAATTTGCAGTGAGCAATTCTACTTTTCAAACTGAAATAGAACTTCTTCAGGTGTCTGGGGAAAAATTATTTGCCTTTAATCTAATTTTTCATTTCAGTTTTGTGAAGAATGGGTATAAATTCAGTGGCAAGAAAATCTTTACTGGAGCCAAAACTGGAGTTTTAGTACAAGTTTTACAAGAAAAAGAGTAGTTAGTGGTACCTGGAAGAACTATTTTTCCCACGGCACTTTGAATGGCTGTGTCATATGTTCTCATCTGTTACTCATTAGTGAGTCAACCATAGGTGATAGCCTGCACCCTACTAGTCCTGGAACATCATATAAACCTGGCTATTACCTTAAATGAGTTATTCATGTGCTAAAAGAACAGACACAGCTGTAGAGAAAGATTGGTGAAACAGTAGGCCAGCATAGTTTAAAATCCTATACCAGAATAAAAAAAAAAATATATATATATTCATGCTTCTACAAGCATCAATAATATGTTGCAATGTATCTTACATTAGAAAGTTTACATTATGAAAATTACTCATGAGTCTAACACTGACTCTAGAAGTATGTGAATAACTCTGCACAGGATGGTGATCAATGATTTGTTCTAAAATACAGAAGTCTGGGGCAGTACTAAAGATCTGGTCCTTCCAATTATTTATTTTATAACTGAGGAGTTTATACAGTAGTTTTTCACTGCAGAATTTTGCTGCCAGAAATCTGTCCTGACTGCTTTTGACAGGAAAGGGGAAGAAAGCCATTTCAGTGCAATGACAAACTCAGAACTGTCAGCAGATGAATAAGCATTTTTTGTGTTGTTGCTGTTGGCTTTTTTGACCATCTCTTGCATTCCAGAAACAATTTTGAGACATAATCTTGTAGTCATTTTAAGAACCCAAGAACATCTGTACTAAGTTTCTGCCCTGTATCGTCTTTCCAAAAGTGATGGCCTGCTTAGCTCTAGTGAGGGATGAAGAGTGTTTAGTGATGCACCTGGAATACTCTTTTTGTTTCCAAAGAACGTGTCTTTACAAAGTTCCTGGGTGGCTAGCAGGGTCAAGTAACTAAAATTCTAAAAGTATTTCTCCTCCACAACTTTTCCACTTCCCAGTAGATTTGACTTGTCTGGAAGTACAGTTTCTGCATACTGACTAACTAGAAATTACAGAGAAAAAGTTTATTTGGGTAAGAACCAGCTCCTCATACGCTTTTTGGGTTTTTTTTGGTTTCTTTTTTTTTTTTGAAAGAGGGGCATCTCTTAACTTGTTTCATACCTCACACATTGCATAAGAGCATAAGACAGTGAACAGTTAATTTCTATTTATGTTCTCTCTGGATCCACTCTTTTCTAGATTGAAGACTTCTTTAAACAGAAGCCATCCCATAACAATAACCATTCTTCTCCTCCTCAGGGTGAGAAATTGCACACAGTATTCAGGAAGACACCTGATATGGATGTATACAGCTGTTTAAAAGCACTTCTGTTCTCTATTCCTTCCCAAACAGTTCCAAATATTGTTTGTTTCTTTGGCTTCTACCGCACAGATGTTGATATGTTTGTGGAAATTTCTGTTACTAGTTCAAGATCCCATTGCAAAGTTGTAACTGTGAAACCACTGACTAAAACTTTGTGTGTGGAATAAGGATTGTGTTTGTCAAGCACACGACTTTATACATAGGCCTTCCTCAAATCACTCCTTATAGGTGTTACACATTTCCTCTGATATGAAACTCGTACACTTAATAGTTTTTATCCTCAATGGGTCTGAATGTCATAGCTGTCCCTTTTACTCCTTGTTTTTACAGACCTCCTAATCTTTTTCCATTTTTTTGTTGGATATAAGCAAGTGGAAGTGGGAGAGTTAGCTTTTATTGTTATTTCAGGGCAGTTAAATGCAATACAGTACCTTCTGGGGAGCAACTGTTTGAATGGCACATTCTAAGGCCTCAAATATTATATGTGGGGGCTATTTTTAAATGCTATAAGATTGCTCTTCTGATTTTAATGTGTGAGGATTTTTTAACATGAGAACTTCTCTTAAACCAGATAACCTCTCTTTTTTTTTGTTCTGTATTTTATCTTTTTAATGAAAATGTCCATTCCACCATTAAAATGTCCTTTCCACCCAATTTTCTGATATATTTATGAGGTCAATATTCTTATTTATGGCTAGACGTCACCAGGTTTTGTTAGACTTGGTATTCTAGTCCATCTTCTGACTTCAGTTTTATTATTGAAATCCAAATTGGTATCAGCAGGAGTATTGATGTTAATATATATGCAGGAGGTTTTTCTTGGAACCTGGGTTTTCTCTTCCACAAAAGTGAGTGATCTCCTGCTGAATTACGGGTCAATAACTTTGGAGAGCAAATCTTCTGGCCCAAGTCCCATACATACTATTTTCAGTTTTCAATGATCTCATGGAGACCATATTTTTCTACACATTTGATATTGATGACATCTGAAAAGACAGAAAAGAAACTCAAAGTTATTAGGTTCTGCAGTTGAACAATATGGTAAAATCTTAAGGTAAAAGGATTTACAAAAACTCAGAATACCATTACATGCACATAAGGCCTCTATATTTTAATTACCCTTTGATTTAAATCTAGATATTCTTTGTGATGCTGAAGTTAAAATACCAACATTTGGAGCCCTTTCCTTCCCATGGATTTTTACCTCTATGTTATTCTTCTATTTTGTTGTAAAATAACTCTAATTCACATTTTTCCTATCCATAGTAACTGATTTTGGAAGAAATAATATTTCTCAGTATTTTGTCTAAGCCTTTGAAACAGATTAGGCAGAAAAAAGAAAATCGCCCATGAATTCCTAGACTTTTTTTTTTTTTTCTTCTGAAGAGAAAGGGTTTTTTTCCAGAAAAATATATAGAATGACCTTACACTTCCAGACAGGAATAAACAATGGGTGATTTGGAACCTTACTACTGGAGTGATAGCCCATTCTTCATTTTCTGAAAAACCTCCTGGAACATTTCTGAGAAAGCCACTTAGTTGTACCCAGAACACCTACATCAACCAGATAAACTGCATTTTCTCTTCACAGCCCACTGTGTGCCCATGCTCTGTTGTTTTTTGGGGTTTTTTGTTTGTTTGTTTTTTTCTTTCTGTCATCTTTTTCTGTAATCTTTTTGAACTTCAGCAAAAGTTTTGATACCTTCTCTCACATAATCCTTCTGGACAAAACGTCCAGCACACAGCTGGACATCACATGATGAATGAGCAGTTGGCTCACGGTTTGGCACAGAGGGTTGTATGAAAGGGGTGACATCAGACTGGTCACTTGTCACTAGTGGGGTTCTGCAGGGATCCATCCTCAACACAGTGTTCTTCAACATCTTCATAAGTCCCTTGGACACAGGAACTGCAAGGAATATTATGTAAGTTTGCTGACGACACTAAATTGGGAGGAGCTGTTGACTCCCGTGGGGGCAGGGAGGTCCTGCAGATTTTTGACAAAATAGAGAGCTGGGCAATCAAAGAATATATGAAACTTAACAAAAGCAAGTACCAGATTCTGCAGCTGGAATGGGGCTACCCTGGTTGTACAGACAGACTGGGGAATAAGGGCTGGAAAGCAGCACTGTGGAAAGGAACCTGGACATCCTGGTCCATGGCAAGCTGACCATGAGCCAGCAGTGCCCTGGCAGCCAGGAGAGCCAACCCTGTCCTGGGGGCATCAGGCACAGCATCACCAGCCAGGCAAGGGAGGGGATTGTCCTGCTCTGCTCTGAGCTGGGGCAGCCTCACCTCCAGTGCTGGGGGCAGCTTTGGGTGCCATTATGTTAAAAAGAAATTGAGCTGTTAGAGAGCATCCAAAGGAAGGCCATGAGGATGGTGCAGGGCCTTGAGGAGCAGCTGAGGTTGCTTGATCTGTTCATCCTGGAGAAGAGGAGACTGATGTGAAATCTCACATTGGTCTTCAATATCCTCATGAGGGGAAGAGGTGGGGCAGGTACTGATCTTTTCTCTCTTATGACCAGCGACAGGACTCGAGGAAATGTCATTAAGCTGAGTCAAGGGAGGTTTAGGTTTGATATCAGAGAAAGGTTTTTCACCCAGAGGGGGTGTTGGGCACTGGAATAGGCTCCCAGGGCAGTGGTCACAAATCCAGCCTGACAGAGTTCAAGAAGCATTTGGACAAACACTCTCAGGCACATGGTGTGACTCTTGGTGTGTTCTGTGCAATGACAGGAGTTACACTCAATGATCCTCATGGGTGGCTTCCAACTTAGCATATTCTGAATCTATAATTCTGTTATTTCATTTTGCTGGTATAACACAGGAGGTCTTTCCTTCCTACACGTCTTTTCTCCTTGGAATGAACATACCAAGGATATTGTAATATACCTATATATATAGTCTCCACAATGCCAAATTAAACATTAATTAAGATTAAGAGATTGAAGGGGAAACCTAGTAAAGTTCATCCTATTCTCAAAAATATTCTTTTTTCTAAATCTCATGAATAGGAACAAATTTTTTGCAGTTTTATAATTCAAGATTTCAGTTTGGAGCAAACTGCATGCAGTACATGCCATCCTGAGGCAGGAAAATAGTGATTCCTAATAATGTCATTATTATCATATTACATGTGGCAAGAAATTGTTATAGAGTTCAATTCAATGGGAATTTTTAATAGGTTCCAGAAATAGCAGATTTAGGTCAAAGTTATCTCTAGACTCTGGAAAATATTATAAGTTCCTATTCTAGCTTGTTAGGACAGCAGTGGCTAGTTGCTATAAAGATGAGTGGTCTTTAAAGTGTGCTTCTTGCTATTCCAGGCCATTTAAACACCATGTAAAAAACCTGCTTTTAACATAAACTGTTTAATACTAGAAATAAACCAACAATAACTAGGGAAATCATACTTCCAGTTGGTTTATTGTTCAGTTTTGCATGTTATCTGCACCAGTGTGCCCCTGGACATTTTCTGATAACTGATGTTGAATAAATCACATTTTGCAATGCTATTGACATTTGTAAAATTTTGACAAAGACATGTATTTTCTCCTACATATTTGATTTCAAGAAAAGCCTTTAGTACCCCAAATCTTTTAGCTTTATACAACTTCATCAGGTAATTTGTGTGTTCATTAGTACCTCTCCCTTTCTTTCCCCCTCTTTCTCTCTCCAAGTCTTCCTTTTCTTCTATATGTTCTTAGCATATCAGAAGGGAAATCATGGCATATCAGCTTAGATAGCAGCTCTCCAAAATCACTAAAGACTAAAAGCCATGTCTTACTGTGATATTTAAATTACGTCTTTTAAAGGAAGTTGCTGAAATTTTCACTGCATGTTTGTGCTATATCAAGAAAAAACTTCTCTAGGAAAGGAAGAGTCTTCAAATAAAGACCTCCTTTTGTACATAAGAACATTGTCTTGGCCTACAGTAATGAATTCATTGTCAAGTGAATGGTTAGAAACAACTGAAGTTGCAGGCTGTGCAATGCAATGCCACCTCTATCTACATTGCCTTACTCTGTACAAGGCAGTATTCCTCACCACTGATGTGGCAAACCTATGATCACAGCATTCACATCCCTAGTGAAAAGCCATCATTCTCTTTCATCCATTCATGTCCTGATTGAAAAGACAAAACAGTCTTTTTGAGTGGTTGAAAAGTTGACAAATACACATTTGAAAAGCCTGAGTGATTTGCATGTTTTTGTGTGACCTCCTCTCATCAACCCATTCAGAAGGATTCTATTCCTGGTTCAAGAGATCCAGTATTGATTTTTAAGAGTAGACAATCACAGACCTTTGTTTATTTGCTCCTTTTCTTTCCTGTTTGTTCTCATAGGTGTAATAAGAACAGCTTTGCCAAATATGGACAGAGAAGTGAAAGAACAATATCAAGTTCTAATCCAAGCCAAGGACATGGGAGGACAGCTGGGAGGACTAGCTGGTACCACCACTGTGAACATTACTCTCACGGATGTCAACGACAACCCACCCAGGTTTCCTAAGAGTATGTAGTATTCCAAAGCACTGATTTTCAAATAAGCATGACGAAAAGTATTAATGTGGAAAAGTAAGAAACTGAAATCCTGGAAAAATAACATTTTATGATGAAAAAAATGAGGTGTCTTGGTTTTTTTTGTTTTTTTTTTT